TAGAAATGGTTGCTTCATGCACATCCATGGCGGCAAGTTGTATGGAATGAGCACAACAGGCCAAGTGCTATGAACTATGTTCATCGTCCTGCAGTCTGGTTGTAACGGGTCTGCAACGTACCAAACTTGCTCTGCTTGGGACGCCAAGATGAAAGGTTCATTGGTAATTTGATCATCTCGGTACAACAAATGATTGAAGTTCACCAACGTGAAATTGAAGACATCTTCTTTCTTTCCGTGAATGTTGTCAATCCAATCACACTTAAACAACACATGTTTCTTCTCATTGGAATATCGAATCTCAACAATATCTGTCAATTGTCCATAATAGTACATAGACCCCACACGAAGATTCTTATCTTTTCGACTAGCATAACTTATGGTATCTGCTTTCAAAGCTACGCCACAATTTTGTGTGGCTCGACGATCATCCATGGCCTTTACTCGATACCAAAACCCATTCAGTATATACCCGTTGAACCTCCTTGCCAGGTTATGAGGACCATTTGCCAATAGAATAATCTCTTCAGAAAATATGACATCAGTAGTCCTTCGCAAAGTTTGGACCAATTTAACACGAAAATGTAAAATTTGAAATGTAGATCGACTTAAGTAACTAGAATCTATAGAGTTAAATACATACATGTTCCTTGAACCAAATGTGAAAAGTTTCAAAATGTTCACGCCGAAGTTGATGATCGTCGACACAAGGCATTTTGAGCTTAAATACTTCAAGGTGTTTGCTGTGTAGATTGAAATTTTAGCAATACAAAAAATTTAGTTGAAAATTCAATAAAACATAATAAAATATTGAGTGAGTGACTTAACCTACTTTATGAATGGTTGAACCGCGCTTGTATTGTAACAACCCTCGTACTGTTGACTGATTGATTACCGTTAATCACCATGATAATTAACACCGAGATTAACTGTTAAACAAGAAACTGATAATGAACTTGATAACTAACTGATAAATCGAACTGCATGATAACAATGACCAGACTGACTGAAATTGAAACTGAATACTGAAATTGAGAATATAACTGTTAGTTAATTGACATTCTAAATGTTTGATTGTTTGATTATAAGATTCAACTAAAAGTGTATGATAAATATGCAAATTGAAGGCCTTGATCGAGCGGCCAGAAAATAACCACAATTGATTGGTGTTTAATGGATCCCTCATAAATAACTGTGATTCTATAGGTAAATATATAAATCTGAAAACTGATTAGGTATGATTAATAGAGTTAAAAATGAGTTAAATTGCATAAGTAGCCTTAATTACCAACAGCTGAGTGGAACCACTACTACAAAAAACACTTTTGAGCTTTATTCACCTATGCATTTGATTAAGGAACAAACATTTCACATCAGCCATTTTCACTTCTACATTAGACGAGAAATCAAGGGGAAGAGAGGCAGAGAGAGATGAGCGGATAAAAATTCCTAAGCCTTGGGTTTTGCTTTGGAGAGAAATTGAAGGAATTGAAGTATAAGGATTGGCATATTTGAGACATCACACACTAGTCTTCTTAATTCAAGCCTCTAGGTAAGGATCTTATCTTCTTATTGATGCTATGAAAACTAGTTCTTAGCATGGTTCCAATGACAAAAAGATTCAATTGTATGAACTAAGTCATCGATTAGGGTCATTAATCGGTAATTGACTCACTTTCTTGCACATGCATGGTTTAGAATCTAATGAGTTTGTGAGTTGATTCATGTAAAGGTTACAATGCATGTCCATGTTGTCAAGAGTAGAAACCAATGTTTTCATCTTGAGTTAGAAAAGAATAGAGGCTCAATTTGAAAACCTTGAAGCTTAGATTTTGGTTTCAAAATCACATTGCATGTTTGCATGATTCTTATCAATAACTTGGAAAATGGGTATTGAATAATTAATTCCTATTGACTACCTTTGGCTTGAAATTCATAAATTGAGCTTGAAACTTGTTAAATAAACAATAATTAGACATTTTAGTTTATGTTTCCACAGAATTTGGACCCATAGAGGCTCGAGTTTGGAAGTGGTAAGAAATGCTTAGTATTGAAGCTTGGGAGGCAAGATCTGGAAAATTCCAGATTTGGCTTCCTGCGCTTTCGAGCGAAGGATTCCCGCCAGAAAAAAAAAAGAGCACCTTTGTCACCCAGGCTCACAGCTCGATATAAAACGGCGAAATTCAAACCATTCGAAAGCGAAAATCCATCGAGCGTAAATTTCAGAAACATACTGTTATACACTATAGTTTGAGCAGACCGCAGTCGAGCGAAAGGATACTCGCTCAGAGCGAAAAGACTTTTGATTATTAGTAACTTAACAGAATCAGAAAGCGTAAAGAAAAGTCATCGCTCGAAGCTTAGGCTACCTATTTTCATAGCCACTTTAAAGAAAATGATTTTTCAGATAGTATAATTTAATGCATATCCCTCAACCATCCTATGGACATTCTAAGGCCTAGTTTAAGGCATCTGAATGAGCAGATATCATTGTAGAACACACCAAGGCAAATTAGGGAGGATTAAGATTATGGAGATTTCCCAAACTGTGTACGCACTTAGTGTGTGTTCAATCTGTTAACAATGTGTAGAGGTTGGACGACTAAAAGAGGAGAACACGCACACTAGCATATGTAGCCGCAGACACTAGTGAGTAACATCTCATAAAGATATGTGTCAAAACAAAAAACTGATAAATCTTTTAATACATGAAGAACATGAACTGATTTACTGAACTGGTATTGATTTACTGAATGAATAGTATGATCCTTTATTATCTAGAACTGTACTGTAGCATCTATAGATACTATACTGTTTACTGTTAACTAAAGAAGTTATAAAAAAAAAATAAAAAAAAGCGACAAAAATAACTCTATCGATTTCCCTCGTAGGAAAACCTACACTGTTTTAAGACTGATGGCCATCAATTAACTAGTTTCGTCTTTCAAGACACCTAATCTAGTTACTAAGTAATGCTAATGGATTACCACATAAATACAATTACTGTACTGAGCAACTGAATTACTATTATTTGGAAAAAAAAAGAAATGAAAAAACACCTAGTTTTCATTTACTGTAAGGACAAATTCATTCTAAACCCTTTACGCTTTATGTTATCACATGAGGAATATTTAGCTCACTGTCAATATAAATATATAAAAAAAGGTGTATCAAGGCACAGAAGACGGAGCTTAGGGCGTCAATGGGTAACATCACAACAGTATTGTCAAGCAAGCCTATTAGTTGCATCACTGCGAGGTTCCGAGTTGCACATGCCTATGGCTTAGGGGTTTTGATTATTTTGGTTGGTTTTCCAATTTACCCCCGCCTGT